TTTTTTTTTTTTTTTTTTTCATTTTGTTCTCTGTCATATATCCGAGCACCCACACAAAGGCTCTATCACACACACACATGCAGACACAATCGAAGTGCTAAGAATAATCGCCAAGGCCCGAATTTGACATATGATGTGCCTGCAGCTCCGCTGTGTGCCAAATACATTTATCAATACTTGTTTTTGTTTTTGTTGGCTTTTCTTTATTTTTTCCCTTTTACCTCTCTTTTTTGGCGAATTGAAATACAAAACTAACGCAAACTGTCACACTATCTGCCCAGGCGTCTAACAAGCTTGGGCTACACCCCGATGAGTCCACCCCCTGCCCTTGGAGCCGGTCATTAGCATTTTTGGCGTGTATTTACGGCCGCAAAATATTACGCCATAAACATGACAGCAAAACAAAATGCGACAAATTTGCTACGCCCCGCTCAACTGACGAAAAGAAGTGTGCAAGGGAGAGAGAGAGAGAGTGTACCGGGCGTTTGTTGAATGCCCTCAAATTTATGCCACCCCACCGCGAGTAATATAATTGTCACATTTATATGTAGAAAGCTGTTGGCAGCTAGTCCGATAGAGAGAGAGAAAGAGATAGAGAGAGAGAGAGAGAGAGGGAGCACAGCACAAAGTAGAGCGCAGCCAATTGATATGAGCAACCGAAAAGTGTTGTCTTACGCTCAATTTGAGTCAAGGCACTAGGCACTAGACACTCTTGGCTCGATTCAATTGCAATGCGTTACGAGGACAGCTAAGCGAAGGATGTGGAGCAATGCACAACTCTCAAATACCCTAACTGATATTGATGAAAGCAGACTAAGGCAATGCAAGTTGCACAGGGAGAAAAGCGGAGCTACTTTACCTAATTCTTAGATTATTAATTGGAGTATATAAAATTATTATTATTAAAGGTAAATAATATTAGACAAATTAATATAATTATTAATTATGATATTAGCAATATTAAAATAATAATACAAATAATTAAATATTTTAATATAATACTAATTTCAATTTAGAAAATTTGCGCATATATAGAAATTTTTATTACTAAATTTAACAAACATAAAAATTGTATAATATTTATATGAATATTTATATTACCTAACTTTTTATTTTATTATGATATTCCATTTTCCAAGGGGTCCAGGCTATAAAAATAAATCATTTTTAGGTTCTTAACAGATTGAACAGTAAAATAAACTGTTATATAAATATATCATATAATTGAGCATCCACACTTACCAGGTGTATTCGCAAGATGAACAAAATCTTGGTGTCCTCCATTAACTTTATCTCTACTATAGTTCCTTTTCACGCATCCAGACACAGCCTGCTTGAGTATATTTCCAGGGTATCTCAATATGTCATCAAAATCACTTAATTATATAGATTAGTTTTTATTTTGTTCTCGCTTTTGTTATGCGGCTTTCAATTGATTGATGATTACCAATATTTTGTTGACTACTAAAGCGGCTCTGTCTTGGCATAATGCCAAACGCATTAAATAGTTAAGCTACCCACTTAGCTCTGGCCATAACAATTGCATAGTTGTCGGCGCTTGGGGTCTGTTCAAAAAGTAAAGTTTATTTTTATGCTCAACGTCGACGACGTCGGCGACATGTGTGCAAATGTTAACACACAGTCAACACACACACACACACACATACTCATAAAGAGAACAGAAGTGGGGCTTAGCCTCACACATCAACACACTCACACGCACACTCAAAGTGAAACAAATCAACTCTGTTTTGGCGCCATGCGGTGCTCCTCAGCCCTACTCTGACTCTGACTATGGCTATGACTATGGCTATGGCTATGACTATGGCTATGGCTGTGGCTGTGGCTGTGGCTCCGGCTTTGGCTGTGCACTTTTTCTAGCCACAACAGAAAGAGCCATCGACAACGCAACTCGACCAGAAACCGACCAGACGCGGGGCCAACAACAACAGCAACGACAACAACAACAGCAACAACAACAACAACAACTATACAAATTTTCTTCAGTTCCTTCGCCATTATTGTGTGTTGTTTAGTGTGCCATTGACGCTGAATGCTAACGGTTCGCGTTGCCTGCCTGCCGCCGCCAAAGCGCTGACAAAATATAAAAAAAAAAAATACAAAATAAACGTAGCACAACTAGTGGGGCCAAGTGTAAAGCGCTTAATAAGCCCTAACTATAACAACTATTTCCGTAAATCACTTGGCATTTCAATTCAGATTCTAATCGACGACTATTTCTGCCCACTTTGATTTGCATTGTGTAATCTCCATTTGGTTGCTTGCATTTTGAGTGCATTAACTAAAAAGTATTTAAAGAGAAATCAGGAATATTATTAAGTGAAATCGATTTTTAGTTGCGGCGGCCCGGCCATGTCGTTTCTGTCGCCAACGCTGCGCATGGAAAATCTGTCAACGGTGCCCATCATGAGTCTGGATCATGTGCCCGAGGCGCAGCGCTACAACAAAGACAACATCGTCGCCCAATGGTGTGCGCCCATCAATGGCAAGGTTCAAATCAATTCCCACTAGACACTCTAAGCCCCTCTGCATGTTGATTAACATTTAATTAACTTTCGTCCGCTCTCTCTCTCTCTCTAACTCTCTGCTCGCTCCCAGATGTATCGCATCGAACTGGAGCACGGCACCACAAGTGGACGCCGCATGATCTGGGTCAATGGTCGGGTAAGTGGCGAATGCACTTTCCCAGCACGCCCCAAATAACATGGCAATTAGTCATGAGGCCACGAAAAAAAAAAATAATGAATCGCTATGCATGTTTTAAGTTATGCACTTATACTAAATTGGTGAACTACACTTTTCTATAATTTGTACGACAAAAGTTTTGGTAATTCAGTTTAACTGTGGGGTAATTTCTAATAACACTTTGAAGCTATTACAATAATAGATAGCATTGGTAGCATTTTTATGAACATTTATTATAAAATGTCAAAGTTCACAGAAAACTCAACTGAAGTGGCTGACGGAACTATTTAAAAGTGGAGACATAGACAATGGTAGTTAAGGAAAGCTTTTCTATTCTAAATAAAAGGAAAGAATCATAAATTTTTAATATTTTCCCATTAAAGTTTAACTAAACTGATTCCTGCAAGGATATCAATTGTTATAAATCATTTTAATAAGTCGACTTCAACTTTTTTATTGCTTCCACATATATAAAATTAAAAAAAAAAAAAAAAACACTGCTAAAGACCAAACTTGAAAGAATACAACTCTACCAGTCTTTAGAAGAGATTTAACTTTTTAAAATACTAAAAACAATACATATTAACCATTATATATATTTTATCAAGAAATTTTGGTCAATAAAGCTTTAAAGTTGCCTCTGAAAGTTGAAAGTTTTAAAGCTTTTTAAAAATATTAAGTTTGATATATGTTTAATATAGAAATTTTATTTAACATTCAAGCATTATTGACTAAAATTCCTGAAATAAA